CCTGCCGCCCTGACTTCATATGTAAGAAAACCCGTTTTGACATGACTGTCACCCACCTATAAATAATGTGAGGCGCGATACCACACTCACCTCCAACGATGCAAGCTTGTATGCTTTTGAAACGTCAGAAAGGTAACACTATTGTTCCCGAGATCGCCATTTCTTCTCAATTATGTCCGGGGACGCGCATCTTCGCTTCTTTTATATATGTGTACATATATATATCAATCATTAATGGGCGCACACCGATCTATTGGCTTCACAAAGCAAACAAGCTCCCTATGTGTGGCAAAGGTAACGAACAGGCAACCTTTTCTTCTCAGTATCTACATATATATATATATATATATATATATATATGTACTGGAAGTTGGGCATCCCAAGATACATAATTTCGAATAAGAATGAGTCCTTTGGTAAAATGATCAAACTTTATTTCGTAAATTTTCGAGTCTGGTTCCCCAGCTCGTCTTCGGACGTGTAGTAAGTGTGAAGAAACAGTCAAAAATTAAACAATGCCGGAAAAATCGATATTGCTCTGTCATGGCTGAGGATGGGTTATTGCTGTGGGCTGATGTCACGTCATGACTGGCTATTACCTTTTCCATTTTTCTTTGAGATTTGTGTACATGGTATCAAGGTCGATGCGTCGATTGATGCATGAGTCATAAGAGTGAATGGCCTCTAGGAATTCTCGGCCTTTCTTATATTGGCAGGAACCGACAATGCGTGTTTTATCCCAAGCGAATTTGTGCCCAGTTTCAAGAGTATGCATGGCGACTTGGGATAAGTGGTCCCGCCGTTTCACTGCCAATTGGTGTTCATGTAGGCGTGTAGAGGCGGATTTTCCGGTTTGACCACAATACACTGCCTTACAGGTGCCACATGGAGTCTTATAGACTACTTCTTTATTATCAAAATAGCCAATACTGTCCTTAGGGTGTACAATCTGATTGTGTAGCGTGGTAGTCGGTTTGTGAGCCACTTGTATTTGGTGCTTCCTCAGGTGTCTTTCAACGAGTTCAGACACATTTTTAATGTAGGGAAGCGTTCGCCAAAGTTTTGGTTTTGGCGTCTGATCGGAACAATCTAGTTCCTTCTCTCTTTTTTTTGATTCCTGCTCTTTCATGCATCGACGTACAAAATCTCTTGGGTAGCCGTTGAATAGATAATTGAGTTCTTCTTTGTAACCTTCGTTCTCAGAGCAATGTGTCTTTGCTCGATTAAGTAGGGTCTTAGCAGCACTCCTTTTGTGAGCCATAGAGTGGTTGCTCTCGTAATGCAGGATAAGTTCCGCGTAAGTTTCTTTGCGGTATACTGATGTCTGGAATGTCCCGTCAGTTTTTCGCTGTACGAGAACATCAAGCAATGGGAGTTTGCTGTTAGCTTCTCTTTCGAGTGTGAACGTAATTCCCGGTAGTGTTGAGTTGATAGCTTTATGCAGAGTTTCTAGCTGATCTCTCTTGACGATGACAAAGGTGTCATCTACATAGCGTACCCACTATTTGGGATTGACTAATGATAAGGCTATAGCCTCTAATTTTTGCATTGTGACTTCAGCCAAAAAGCCAGAAATAGGTGACCCCATAGGAGTTCCTTTCAGCTGTTGATAACATCCATGTGCGAACGAGAAGTGCGTTTCCAGACATACGTCCAAGAGTTCAAGCAAAGCAGATGCAGGAACATCCATGTCGTAGGACTGTAAGAGTTCTTCTGTGCACTGCCTTGCCAAATCGAGTGGTATGGACGTGAATAGAGAGATGACATCGAACAACACTATTATCTCATCTGATTAAATAGTGAGTCCTCTTATCTGGACTAGAAATTCAACTGAATTCTCGATTGAAGTCTCACAATCCTTTGTTAAGGGATGGAGTTTGTGGAATAGCCATTTAGAGATTTTGTAATTCGGTGCACCGATTACTGATACTATCGGTCGCAATGATATGTCAGGTTTGTGGACTTTCGGTAGTCCATAGATTTTAGCAATTGTTGGTTTAGTTTGTCTCATGGATTTCGCGATTTCTCCTGGTAGTTGTTTCTTTCCTGCAAGACGTTTTACCACTTTATCAATGGATGAAATTTGTGCTTTGGTAGGGTCAATGGTGAAGGGCATATAAGTTGACCTATCTTCTAACAATGATAGCATCTTTTTATTGTAGTCTACTTTGTTTAATATTGCCTTTGAGCCTCCTTTGTCTGCAGGAAGAATGACAATATTCTTGTCAGTTTACAGGGTTTTTAACGTCTTCATATTCTCGCGTGACAAAACTGAAAAGTAGCTTCGGTTCTTTAGGGCCTGTACATTGCTATTCCGAATGACGAAACGTTCATCATCTGTGAGATCTTCTGACGATATGATGGACTCCAGGTTTGCGAGGAAGTCTAGGTATTTTGAATAGGAGAGGTTGTATTTCATGCCCTTGGAGAGCACAT